GTTTTGCAAGATGAGAGACTTCTGGAAATCGGTTGCACAATAATGTGAATATACTTAACACTACTGTACACTTAAAAATGGTTAAGGTGGTAAATTTTACGCTACATGTATTTTACCACGATGAAATATAAAATAACATGAAAAGAACAAGTGGCATCACGTAATGCCTTGCTACTCAAAGTGCGATCCACAGGCTGGGAACATCAACATCTTCCAGGAACTCGTTAGAAATGCAGCGTCTCAGGTCCACTCCAGACCTGCTGCATTTGAACCTGCATTTTTCTTTTTCTTTCTTTCCTTGTTTTTTATTTTTTAGAAAGACAGTTCCGCTATCACAGTGGGAATTTTATTTATTTTTTAAATTTTATTTATTTAATTATTTTTCGTTATGTTGAATCTTCGTTGCTACGCGAGTGGGGGCTTCTCTCGTTGTGGAGCACGGGCTCTAGGCGCGCGGGCTTCAGTACTTGGGGCACATGGGCTCAGTAGTTGTGGCTCGCAGGCTCTAGAGTGCAGGCTCAGTAGTTGTGGCGCACGGGCTTAGCTGCTCTGCGGCATGTGGGATCTTCCCAGACCAGGGCTCGAACCTGTGTCCCTTGCATTGGCAGGCGGATTCTTAACCACTGCACCACCAGGGAAGTCCCTGAACCAGCATTTTTCAACAAGACCCCCTGTGTGGTTGGTGCGTACATTAATCTTTGAGAAGTGCTAGTTGCAACAGACCGAATATTAGTCCAGGGTTTAGAAGATGGAGCAGACAAGGTCATTCGTCCACCCGGCACCCACCTCCTCCCTTCCTACTTCCTGGAGACCCCAGCATTCTCCAAGCAGCCATGTGCTCGGGAGGATGACTTCATACACTCCCCCCACCCCCCACCCCGTGGTCTTACTCCCCTGGCCAGTGACTTGTGTAGGGCTGGGCATGTGGCCTGGTTTTGGCCAGTAGAAGGAAGGGAAGTTCTGCTGTAGAGGTTCTGCTGCCAAAGCAGAAATGACCTCTCCTTCCCTGTGAAGTTCTCATGTCAGGATGTGACCCGAGCAAATTCCATAGGCATCTCGGGACCTTGGGGGCAGCTAGACCGGTACTTGAAAAATAGAGCCACTGACTGACAAAATCCTGGGTCCACCTCACCAATGATTGCTGATTATGTGAGATTAGAAATGTATTTATTGTTTAAGAGCGTCTGAGTCAGGGTTCTCCATTCCTTGGAACCCAGGGTTCCTCAGCCTTGACTCTCTGGATGTGTCGGACAGGATAATTCTTTGCTGTGGAAGGGCTGCTGTGTGCATTACAGGATGCGTGGCAGCAACCCTGACCTCTGCCCATCAGACGCCGGTGGCACTCCCGCCCCCCCAGTTGTGACATCGTGTCTCCAGACACATGGCCCCATATTTGGAGGGGGTGACAATTGGCCCCCAGTTGAGGACCACTGTTGCAAAGGCACCCTAACGAATGCAAAGACCTTTCCTCGGTGGTCCGTGAGGAGGGTAAACATCGCTGTCTATGCTCCAGAATGTCTCAAGGATCCAGCTGTGTGAGAAAAGCAAACACACAAGGTGTTGCTAACGACTGGCTGTCTTTGATGCTGCTGGTGCTTTGATAACAATGTTGTGCTTTCCATTTATTCTTTGAATAGGCAGAGATGTTTAACTTAACAGATGGCCAGTGCGGATAGGGAGTGGAATTTTCCCTGGGCAAAGTTGGTGACCCGGCCAGCACTCTCTCGGCCTCTTCCTCCCACTCAGAAATCCTGATCTCTTACCGCCAGGCCCCGAGCTGGGCCACCAACCCCGACTCACCGCCCCACGAGGCGATGGGTGCTGCAGATTCACGCAGTATCACGTTTTCACAGATTGAGAGATGTTCATATTGAACTGCTGAAGAGAGAGATCTGTGTTCTCCACGTAATGTTGTATTCGCAGCTCACACATCCATGGATTTGAGACTCGCAGAGTCGGTGGCTTCTGGACAAGAATCAGTTGACACACCGAGACCACTTTCCTTAGGAGCCCCCTGGCCCCGAAAATCAGTGCATTTGGATTCATCACTCCTTGGAGAGTTTAGTTTCATCCAAAATGTTCCCTGGGGCAGGAAGGCTTACAAGGGGAGCTAGGCTTTACAGGAAGGTCTGGAGGAGAGTTGGGAGCATGGGGACGGGTTGGGGGACCAGTGCTGTGAAAGCCACAGATGTTTCTGTGGTTGAGGTCAAGTGTTTCCCGTGTGCCAGTGCAGTACTCAGCACTGGGGCTGGGGTGCGGAGCAAAGGCCGTTTGGGAGGCGCTGCGGCCCTTGGGGGCCTCACAACCTACTGGGGAGTATGTGGAGGGTGCTGGGTTGCTCTCCTACCCTCAGCCCGTATGGTGGCCATTTCCCCAGGTAAGTGCCCCCAGGAACACGGCGACTACCCTGATTTTGTGTCCCATCCCCGCCCCTGCAGCCTGTGTGCTTTGCAGGTCACTAACCTGCTTTCTGAACCAGAGGGAAGACACATGTGTCAGGCCGTAGTCAATGTCTTAGGCCTGGCGTACGAGGATTCGACTGGAGAAGGCACACATTCACAGCTTCTGGAGGAAAAGCAGTGTTTTCCTTTGGGGGAGGGGGCGTGGCTTGCAGGCCCTGCTGCAGCCCGATTATTTCCAAATAGGAGTGGAGCTGAGGGTTGAGCCAATGAACAAAGGGAGGCAGAGTCGAGAGTCACAGGGAAATCAAGCGGGAGCCTTGATCGACCACGTGTGACGCACCTCGGGACATTTAGGTGGCACATGCTAGTAAACCTCCGTTAAGTGTAAGCCAGCTGGAACCGGATTTCCTGTTGCTTGCATCATAAACTAAGGAGCAAACCTCCAGCGCGGACAGGCAGAGAGGAGTGAGGGTGTCTTCACACAAACGACGAGGACAGTGACCCTCGTGTAGGGAAATGGCTGGTTCTGGTGGGCCCGCTTCACCCGGGGACACAGACCTTATGTGTATGGAGACTCGACATCTGGAGATCTGACGGGATATTCAGGACACTGTGCACCTCTGCGTCCTCATTAAGGCCCTAGGAGACTCACATCCAGGGGGAAGGTGGCCCATTGGCGGGGTGAGAGGGGTGAAAAGACAGCTTTGCTAAGAGACAGCGTTTCTGCCTGTGGCTTGAGCAAGTCCTGCTGGGTTGGAAAAGCTGGCTTTTCGGGCTGAATTTAGAACACAGGCGACCAGTCAGGTGACTTAACAAGAGAAAGGATTAGGGCCCCGGAAGAACATTGCCCCAGTTCCCAGGTGTCTCCCGAGCCTCTTGTCTGAAGGACGTCACGCTTGATAAAGGGGACAATTGCCTTACTGTGAAGATGCAGCTGGGATGAGGTGGGGCAAGGGGCAGACCTGGGGCACCTCCCCACCTCGGAGATGTAGTTAGATGTCCCCAGTCCGAGGAGCAGGGCAGCAGGCAGGGCACAGATCAAGGATACAGACCTGTGAAGATCTCCACTCAACCACCAGCCCATGGACTTGAACAGAAGAAACCCAGTAAATTCTGAAGGGGGCTGAGATGCCAAGGAAACTGGCCAAGTAGTGGTCTGAGATTGCCCATCCCTCAGGGAGATCCCTGAGCTTGTGCCCACAGGAAGTGGGGTGCTACAACAGTGAATCTTCTTGGGAGGCATCAACACCAAGCCCCTCAGATGTTAACAAGGCGGTGGATGGGGACCCACCCAAACCCAGAACTGGGGGCAGCACCTTGTCTGCTGGAGGAGCTGGCTTCACCACAAGGGCAAGGAATCCCCAATATTTCCTCAATACCGTATGTGCTATCGACCAATGGCAACTGAGTGTGTTTCCCACCTTCTCCTTCTCCAAATGGAGAATTTCCCTTCTGGAAATTCTTACTGCAGATATCCTGGTTTTTCCCATCGTTGCTGGCTATGTTGATGATGATGAACTGCAGAATTTAGTTCATAGGTTACCATCCCTTGAGTAGCTACTTCCAGACATGATGGGGAGTATGATGCGTCTCACAGAAAATATGAACTCGAGTCTGAATCCAGTAACTGGATGAATCATAGAGCTCCGCCCTTTGGGGGAGGGGTGAGTCCATTTCAGCCACCTGTGGGTATTTCTGATGGCTACATAAGGGAAGGAGATTGTACCAGTGTTAGTTCATCAAAGGGGTAGACCATAGTGGGACGTTATGGTTACTGCCTTCACACCCACCTGCCCTTCTCTGGATAATCATCCTGATTTTGTGCAGGTAGCTGTACTTGAACTCACAGCTTGTACAGCTTAGAGAAAGCCGACTCCACTCCCAGATCCAGGACTGGACATGCGGCTGGACGAGGCTCTGCTTGGAACTCCTCTGAAACAGTTTCTCTCTCTTTAGAAACTTCTTTTGGGGTTGAGATTTGGGGGGGGGCGCGGCATGAGTGCTGGAGCAGCCATTTCATCACCATGAGGGGAACCAGCCCCCACCGAAACCAACACAGGGAAGAAAAGTTGAAAGAATCAGAGAAAAGGATCTGCAACCCTGATGGTACCAGACCCACCCTCGCTCTTGGGCTCCTGACTTATATCATGTCTTCTTTAATATTTGAGCCAGTTAGAGTTTTCTGTTCTTGCAACCAAACAACCAGCTATTACAGAATGAGATGAAAGCTAAAATAAAAATATGAAAAAAACGCTGGAGAAGGTAGATTCACTGGCTAAGAGAAGCAGGCTGTTTCTTTAAGCATTTAGGGTGGGAAGGTTGGCAAGGAACCCATCAGAGCTCTTAGCATCAATCCCACCCTTTTCATGGGGATTTTTTGGGCTTATCTGAGACCATCACTAACGTCCCCACCTAACCCGTGCAGGTGGGGATGCATATGTAAAGGTTTCAGAGCAGGGCGTTGCACCTGGCATCTAAAAGTCCCCAATAAACGTTGGGCAGTGGCAGGATACTCACTGTCTGCTGGCCCCAGCCCCCTGCGCCGGGAAGGCCGAGGGAGTTCCCTAACCACCTCCCTCCCCATGGCTGTTGCAGAACATGGACCACATGTCTCCCAGGCTGAGAACCTTCCTTTCTGAAACCATTGGAGAAAAGAATGTTGCCTGGGTAGATGGGGTCAGCCGTGAGCTTGCAATCAATCTGTGCGCCAAAGGTTTCAACAAGGTAATTCCTCCTTTCTCGTTTCTCCAACTTCTCTTTCAACCTGTATTCCCCTAATCCTGCCAGATGGCAGCCAGTGCCACGTGTCCCTGCCAGTGGCTGTCGGAGAGCAAAGCTGCCACTTGGCCGGGCGCCACATGCTTGGCTGGAGGCTACTGACCCCGCATGCTTGGACAGCCGCCAGGGTCCACAGATAATGGGCAAATCGAATCACTGTGGCTCAGAGCAGCTGGGCTGTGCGTGACTCACTTGGTGTTCAAACACCCAGGGGTCGACAGCAGTGAGCCAGCCGCCCGAGTCTGGGGCCGAGCTGTCAGGATGGATGATTTGGGTGCACTCCCCACCCCTATGAAGAGACATGAGGGTCTCTTGTCCTATCAGGCCATGGCAGGTGGAGTCATGGCAGCCTGGTGTCTACACCAGAGTACGAGGAAGTGAGTTATTCTAAGATGTCACTAGCAGTCCGAGAACAGCCTCAATGATGGCCAATGGAATCGGAACGATCTCTTCTAGGCAACTGTTTCTATGGTGCTATTATATAAGGCTGCATGAACCTTAGGAGAGGATGGGAGATATTCCCAAAGAGAACCCGGAGAAAGTGAGCGGGTGGGAATTCACAGGAGCATTGCACACTCGGTCGAGAGAGGCACCTCCGGCAGAGGTACAGTAGCTCGTTCCCTTTGGCTTTAAAGTCAGCCCTCACCGCTGGGCGGGAAGAGGCTGCAGAGACGCCCAGGGAGGCGGGGAACCGCTGAGTGCGCAGCTGACGGTGAGATTGGTTTGCACCGGCCCAGCGCATGGCTGTGTCCAGGGGGCAGCTGGACGACTGGGCCTGTGGTTTTCTCATTGACACGCTGCCCTGCACCACTTGTTAAACATTCTGAATATCACCTGAATCTACCACAATCTGATACCCAATAGGTGGGATTGTCAGGAAGACAGATTGAGGTAGATTTGCTTCTTTCCTCCCAGATAAAGCACAGAGGACCATTCCCAAGCAGAGAGTAGAGCAGGCAAGTCTGATTAGGGAAGACATTTTAAATTAAAAATTATTTTTTAGAAGAAATGATCGTCCCTTTTACTTTTCTATTGTGGTGTAACATACCCACACGGATGTGATGGGTTCAACTCAGTGAGTTTTTACACAGATATACATGCACAGACCCACCACCCGGATCTGGTGATCAGGATCCTCGAGAATTCCAGAAGCTTCCCCTGTGTCTCTTGCCAGTCAACTCTACCCCCCACTCCCAGAAGTCACCGCCATTCTGGCTTCTACCACCATTGGTTTAATGTCTCCATAGTTCTGAGGTGTTGTTGTTGTTCAGCCATACTCATCGTTCAAAAAATATTTTAATCTACATACAGTAAATTTCACCTTTTTTTAGTACACAGTTCTGCAAGTTTTGACAAATGCACGTAGTCATGTAGCCACTGCCACAATCAAGGCCTAGAACAACCCCATCGTGCCAAAATGTTCCCCTGACCCGTCACATTTCCCACCTTCAGCCCCTGGCAACTACTGATTTGTTTTCTGTCCCTATAGTTTTGCTTTTTCCAACTTGTTTCAAGTGATTCTAGGAGGATGAGAGGCATATTAAAGATAAAGGAATGAATGAATAATGGGAAATTTTCAGGCATCCAAGAACTTGCTACACAGAGTCAGGGCTATAGGGAAGGAGGAACTGGCCAGGTCCCTGGAGATCTGCTCCTCTGTGTTTCCCACCTCCTGGCTAGCTGTGACCAGCCCTCTCCTTTTAGGCTCTACTCATTCCAAGGGCCACTAATTCCAGGCACTGATGCCAGGGGTTCACCTTCTTCCTCTGCTTTGAGCCCCTCACCCACCTGCGAATGAGATGAGAGGTCGCTGTCTCCACTTGACAAACGAGGAGACAGAGGCTCTGGAAAGTGAGGGCCTTGATCAGGGTCCTGAGTGAGGACAAGAACAGCCATGGATTATATGGTCACAAACCACCCAAGAATATCAGGGCCAGGAGGCCACCCTGGCGGCGCGGGGGGGGGCTTTACACTGAGATTTGGTGATGAGCTCCTGAATCGAGTGCTGGAGCCTGGCTGGGCCTATACGAGGATCCAGGAGGAGACCCCAGTGTCGCACCGACAAGATGAGCAGGCGCTTCGGGGGGGGCGGGGCCGTGGGCGGGGCCAGCAGTAAGAGGCAGGTAGATCCCGGCAGGGCGGCCGGCTCAGATGTAGCAAAAGAAACGCAGGTTCCTGTAGTGCTTCCCATAGGCTTTATTTTTTAGAGCAGTTTTAGGTTTACAGCCAAACTGAGAAGAAAGTGCTGAGAGGTTCCCTATGCCCCTGCCCCGTACACAGCCTCCGCGTTACCAGCACAATGGTAGGTTTCTTACGGGAGAACCTACACTGACACCTTATCTCCCCGGGGCCCAAAGTTGACATTAGGGCTCACACTTGGTGTAGCGCATCCTGTGGGTTTGGACAAACGAGTGATGACAGGTATCCACCATGGTGATGTCCTACAGATCACTTCTCTGCCCCACAATCCTCTGAGCTCCTGGGTTTTCACACCCTGCCTGCAGGAGGCCTGGGCATGGCAGGCCCCTCCCCAGGCTGGGGGTCCCTGGAGTTTCTTGGCTGTGAGTAGAGATCCCCTCAGGCTCCACCCCTGCTCATGGTGGCTTCCTTGGCCTGTCCCATGGGTGCTGGGCCTTTCCGAGGACCTGCTGGGATGCAGATGTGTGAGGCTGCCCTCAGCCCTGCCTGCCTGGGCCCCTCACACTGCTCCCGAGACACCAGATGCTGGAACCAGGAGATGGGACGCCAGCCCCACCCTGGGAGCCCAGGGTGCATCTGGGTGTGTCGATCATCCCTCTAGGACTGTGGCCCTGGACAGGGGCAGGCATGGAGACACCTTCTCCAGCTCCCACCAGCCTCTAAATTGAGTAATTTCTCCTCGATGCCTGCCCCACCCAAGCCAGACTTGCATTTCTTCTTCTACAGAGGCATGACGTGCTTGGCGGGGTTGCCCCTATCTCTCTCTGCACTTTCCCAGAGCTTTGTCTGTGGCTTGAACAGTTCTCTGACTCAGTTGCAGTCCTGACTTTCAAAACTATGGATTCACCCAAGTCTCAAAAGTCAAGAATGTGGCTGCGTTTTCTCTGGGTTTTTTCGTGCCTGCCCTCCCCCGGGGCTGACAGCTTCGGCCTGACGATCTACATCTTGGCCGTCCAGCACGGCGGCCGTGGGCCACTTGTACCTGTTGCGTACCGTCTGAATTGAGTTGTGCTATAACTATAAAATACACATGGCCGCGTTAAAGACTCAGTGCCAAACAAACAAAAAATGGAAAGCATCTCATCAATAATTTTTTAATTGATTACATGTTGGAATGATAATAATTTAGAAATATGGGAAAAAATTAAAATTATTAGAATTCATTTCACCTGTTCTTTCCCCCTTTTGCCGTGGCTTCTAGACAATTAAAAATTACACGTGTGCTGGCCCACATTAGATTTCTACTGGACAGCAGTCGTCTAGATTTAACGGCGAAATGGCTGCAAAGGTGAAAGGAATGACCAGAAGAGGGAAGATACATCATGCTCAAGGTGTCCGTGCCAGGTCTAGCTCCGCCTTATATTATTCTGTCCCCCCACCCTCACCCCCATGCTCCACCAGACTGTTCATGAACCACAGGCACGTGGGGACCACCCTCCCGCGGACCCAAGGTCCCTCTTAAAATGAACTTTTGTCTCCTTCATGGGCCCACTCATGGCCCACCCCCTCCGGAAGCAAGCCCTCCTTCTGCCCACCCACCCTGGCCGGACACGCCGCTGTTTCTAAACGCTGAGTACCCAGCGGACCCCTTGCTGTCACATCCAAACTATTGATTGTTTTTTCCACGCGTTCTGTTAGAGGCACAGCTCCCTTTGGTGTCCTCCCGTATCTTCTCTGAAGAAAGGATTGTTCTGGGTTTCTTGTACTCCTCCTCTCCCTAGGAAAACCCAATGGAGGGGGGTGAATTTCCAGGCGCTCAGTACATTCAGAGTCATGGGCAGTGCCCTATGGGGTGACTCCAACAGCGTGGAAGTAAGTTTCACATCCCACAGAATCTGGTTTGCCTCAGTACCCTTTGAACACCCTACGAAGTCATAACCATGCCTAAATCTTCCTTCTGAAACATACTTGGAAGATGAGGGAGCAGCAAATGTCCGGGATGCCCACCTGCTCCCCAAGCCTCTGTCACCTAATAGAACCAGCACCTGATGCTTGCTCCATGTCAGGCACTGATCCGAGTGCACTACATACAGTTATTTCATTTAATTACCAAAAGATCCCATAAAGTATACTATTTCGTCTCTATTTCACCGATGAGAAAACAGGCACGACGCAGCCAAGTGCGTCACTCAAAGTCACTCAAGGTGAGAGAGACAAAATCTGAATCTGGCAGACAGGCTCTGGGGTGGGCAGCAGGGCAAGGGACCCCCCCCCACCCCCAGCCCTGCCTGATGCCCGGACCCTACAAGGAGTCAGTCACAGAAGCTTGGGGTTATCCTATGCAGGGTTGCCAGGTAAAATACAGCACCCTCAAATTAAATTCGAGTTTCAGTTAAACAATGTTTTTGTGTAAGTGTGTCCTAGGGAGACGGGCAGGGGGAAGAAAGCACAGTGGGTTGAACATTCATGCTTCAGACAAGGAGTTTTACACTGGAAACACTGACAGAGGTTGCATTTGCAAGGTTGTCTTTGGCACTCAGTGGCCCTGAAGACTAAGGAGTCAGCATCCAGTTAGAGAAAAAGAAAGTTGTTCATCACACAACAAAGCCTGGTGGTGCTGTAAAGTCCATTCGCCACGGGCGCTGAGGGGCTGGGAACTGGCAGGGGGGGAGCTTGACAGTGAGGGGCCCAGACTACGTGTCTCTGTTTGAAAGGCCAGGTGTCATAGTGGAGATGAAAAAATTTTTTTTTGGCCGCTCCATGGGGGATCTTAGTTCCCTGACCAGGGATCAAACCTGCGCAGCCTGCAGTGGAAGCACGAAGTCGTAACCACTGGACCGCCAGGGAAGTCCCTGAAATTTTTAATGAGCGTGGACCAGGACCTAATCTGCGGGCCCAGTGCAAGATGAAGGTGGGCGGCCCCTTGTTGAAATTAATCAGGAATTTCAAGATGGTGGCAGCACACCAGCAAACCAAGTGGGGCTCTGAGCTCAGGGCCTGTGTGACGGCATAGGTCACTCACCAGGGACCTCAGACTCAAACATCGCTACTGTTTCGCAAGGAACAGGCACGGCACACTGGAGGCTGGTCCAGACCTGCTCACGATTGGGATGTGGCGTTGACGGAAGTCTTCCCTCGAGCTGCCATCCTGCCACACAGGCAAAGGCTGCCTCGGGAAGGAATGAGCATCCCTGGCCTGGGTGGCGGGAGGTGGGGACGTCTGTCAGGGTATCTGCATCACTCTCCCTGCAGCCAGGTTTTTCTGAGCTTTGGTCCAAGGAGGCAGGGGGTGGCTCCTCTTCCCCCAGGTTAGGGGCTCGCTCTCTAGAGCCTGCAGAGAAACCCAGAGGGCTTCCTTCCATCAGGGCCATGATGGGAGCCTACGACTCCTGCTTCCCTGGGGTGCAGGGAGAAGCAGGTCGACTTCCAAAGAGAAAGGGCAGAAGGGAGCATCAAGTTGCCACTTGGGTCTGGAGGCCAAAAGATGAGGCCCTCTTGCCTGTGGCTTTCCTGGAAAGTTTGCCTCTGGTCCTGCGAGCCACGAGGTCCCTGGCATCCTGGCTGCTGGGCGTGGAGGGACATGGAAGCTCTGGTTACCAGAGCAGCCGACGCCAGCCCTCAGGATGGTGGAGGTGCCAGGCCAGGCCACAGATGGGTGGGGTGTGCTGGAATGGGGCCGAGGACAGGAGTCTTACCTCCAGGGTTCTCCATGACCCATCTAGAGAATGGACGGGGCGCATGTCAGGATCCAAAGCAGGAAAACGTATCAGGGGTCTGAGCCTGCCCATGGTGCTCAAAAGCATCACTTACGACTATTATCATCCATGTTCTCTCTCCTGGGACAAAGCTCTGCACCTCCCATACCTACTGCAGCAACGGGCTCAATCAACATTCAGTAAATGTTCACTTTTTAAAACGTTGAATTAAAAAACATCTCAGGGACTTCCCTGGTGGCGCAGTGGTTAAGAATCTGCCTGCCAATGCAGGAGAGATGGGTTCGAGCCCTGGTCCGGGATGATCCCACATGTCGCGGAGCAAATGCGCCCAAATGCCACAACTACTGAGCCCGCACTCTAGAGCCCGCGAGCCACAACTACTGAGCCCACATTCCACAACTACTGAAGCTTGCGTGCCTACAGCCCATGCTCCACAACAAGATAAGCCACTGCAATGAGAAGCCCGTGCACTGCAACGAAGAGTAGCCCCAACTCGCTACAACTAGAGAAAGCCCGCGTGCAGCAACGAAGACCCAGCGCAGCCAAAAATAAACAAATTAATTAATTAAAAAAAAAAACTCAGTAAAATCACCCCTGAAAAGACGAGGATGCTGACAAAAGTAAAATGAGCTCATTCTAACCAATTACACCGCTTTTTCAAAAAGATGATTAAAGTAGCAATTTAAAATGACCATGAAATCCTAGCTTTTGTCTCTTTTCAACAACTGGATCTGGACTAAAATTTTTTTTAAAACCCCAAACTCCAATGCTTGGGTATATTTTATGACTGGAATTCAGCTTTTATTTAATTTGTCTTTTTAAAAATGCGTTCATTTTGGTTAAGATGAAGTTTGCTTGGTTTTATGTAAGTGAAATACATAGACGCCAGTGGGTTTTCCTGGAGGGGGCCCAGGACTCAAGGCCTGGACACTGGTTCCCATTCATTCCAGGCCAGAGAGCCGGGCACTGAACGTGGCCTTCCCCGTTCATGTCCCGGCCAGTCTGTGGCCTTGGATGTCTCTTTCTCCTTGTGGCCCTTGCCCCTCATGACTGTCAGTGATGAAACAGCACGAGAGGAATGAAAAGCTGTGGGACCAGGACTCAGAAAACCAGAGAACACCATACAACTTTGACTTGTGGGCACTTAATCTTTACATGTGTTTTTCATCCACAGAGACCCTTCAGAAGGGGAAAAGGGGCAAGGTTCAGTGTGCTTGATACCTTGTCTGCTCCTCCCACAGGGCTGCAGTCTTCCAGGACAAAAAAGGAATTTGCATTTCTCCACTGGTCTCACACTGAATTCACTTAATCCAATTTGCAGGGTGGGGCGGGGCAGATGAAGGGCCTTCAGAAGATGCAGAAACTGAACCCCAGGCTCTGCAGGTTCTCACTTCAGGTTAAGTGAGTTGCCTGGAGTCACAAGGTGGGTTTGCAAAAACAAACTGATACTAAGGTGCCCTTCACATGCCAGTCCCAGGTGCAGTGGTTCTCAGTTGTGGGAGATTCTGTCCCCTGGGGGACACCTGGCTATGTCTGGAGATGGTCATTATTGTCACAATTCAAGGTAGGGGGTATACTGCTGGCATCTAGTGGGTACAGGCCAGGGATGCTGCTAAACTCCCAGCAATGCACCTGAACACAGAATTATCCCAAATGCAGCAGTGTCAAGGGTTAGAAACCCTGTGCTTGAACCATTGAGAAAGTGGCAGGGTGGGGGGCACCTCTAATTCCTGTGTGTGTTTCAAAGAGAGAAATATTAGATCCGAGGCCTGAAGGGAGCATCAGAGGTACACGAGGCTCTCGCTACTCCAAATATTGTTCCGGGAGCAGCATTAGAAATGCAGAGTTTCAGGCCTCACCCCAGACTTACTGAGTCAGATCCTGCCTTTTTAACAAGATCTCAAAGACATGTCCAGGTTCCTTCCAGGCTACACGGCCCCCAAAGCCACCTGTAGAGATAGACATTTAACTTGACCTCACATCTCACCCAGGCCAGTGTCCGAATCTGCTTCGCCAGGGTCAGGGTTTCAGGGACAGCCCTTCTCCCTTGAATCTGACCTGTGCTCCCTCCATTGATTTGCCAGGGGAAGAGAAGCACAGCTGAGTACGTTTCCCGTGTTCCTCCACGCAGGCCTACATCCTGCTGGGACAGTTCCTTCTGATGCACAAGAACGAAGCCGAGTTTCAGAAGTGGCTCATTTGCTGCTGTGGTGCCACTGAGTGTGAGGTGCTCCAGCTTCCTGTAGACCCTCCCCCCGCACTGCCGCTAGGAAATGATACCTCTGCACTGACTCTGGGCTCCAAGTCGTTATTTTTCTTTTCCACTTTATTGACACACATTTGTTATAAAAAGTAGTTCAAGAATGTAAAGAAGGACAAACACAAGAAAAATGACCCCCAGATTCTACCACCCAGAAACGTCCATCATTCACCTTATTCACCAATATCATGCCAACTGTCTCTTTAGCATAAATTTATCTAAAGGAATGGATAATTTTATTTAAAAATGGGAATTAAATTTTAAGTCAGCGTAGCAGTTATCTATTGCATAACAAATGAACCCAAAACGTAGCTGCTTCACGCACACAATCATTTTGTCTCACTCAGTTTCTGAGGGACAGGAACTGAGAGATGCTTAGCTGGGTGGGTCTGTCTCAGGGTCCCCTGTGAGGTTACAAACTGTGGGCCGGGGAGCAGGTTGGTGGGGGCTAGGGGACCCACTTCCAAGAAGGCTCCTCACGTGGCTGGTGGCCCAAGGCCACAGCTGGTCTCTGAGTGGGCCTCCCTCGGGCTGTAAGGACCTGGCATCTAGCTTCCCCCAGAGCGGGTGACCCAGGAGGGAATAAGAGAGCAGGAAGCTGCAGTCTTTCATGACCTAGACTCTGATTCACACAACATCACTTCTGCCTTGTTCTAGTTTTAGAACCAAGTGCCTACATCCTCAAGGGAGAATTAAACTTTCTTGAAATAGCAAATAGTATGCAAACATTCTTAAGAGCATCACAGACAGATTTTTGAGGTATAATTTACATATGGTAAAACTTGCCCTTTTTAGGTGCATAGTTCTATGAACTTGACAAATGCATTGTCCTGTAACCGCCACCATCATGGAGATAAACAGCATCTTTGTCACCCCAGCGAGTTCCCTGGAGCCCCCCTGTAGTCATCCCTCACTCCTCCCCAGCCCTTGGCAACCAAGGGTCTGTCTTCTGTCCTTAGACTTTGGACTTTTCCAGAAAACTGTATAAATGGAATCACACAACATGTCGCTCTCTGAGGTACATTGTCTTCTTTTACTTGGTATAATTCAGTTGGGATGAATCCATGATACAGGCTTCTTAAACTTAAGAAACGTAGCAGGTGTTGTTGGTGTCCAGCCCATATCCTGGCGGCATTCACTGTTCTAGGAGAGTCCGTTACTTCACTCAAAAGCGGCTGAATCCCCTCGGCCTGAGGGGTTCCCTGGCTGCAGGAGTGGGGTCAGCCCACGCACAGGGCAGGGAAGAAATGCCTGGGAGTTAACACCCAGGGGAGCCGTTAATCATGGGTGGAAGTTGATGGCCAAATGCCCCGGGTCCTCTGCCTGTGGGTGGGACAGCTCTGAGGCAGTCTTCCCCACTCTCCACTGGAGCTAAGCTGAGCTCCCCATAAAGGGTGGCCCCGGCTCTCTAACACCCGGCCTTGCTTCCTTCCCCTCCCTGCCTTGATTTCCCACTCCCCTACCAGGGCTTCCTGGGACCACCCTCTATACACAATGAAATACTCAAATTTTAGAGTCTGCTTCCAGAAGAACCTAACCTAAGACAATAGTGTGAATATTTATTTTAACAGAAGAAAAAAGTGGAACTGAACTGAAAGAATTGCTGAACTTCACTGAATTTTTTTCTTCATCACTAGATATAGTAATTTCTAAATCAATTTCTTCTGAGTTTAAAGAATAATATGGAGAAAAGAGTAAGAGTGAAGTTAGTATCATTAGGTTTATTTTAAACTTTGTTTTTCAATATTAGATGGTATAAACTCCTACCAAAGAAAGAAATAAAAGTAAAAAGAAATTAACACTTTTACTTCTTCCCTCTCATTTTTTAGTTGGTTTTATTGTTACTTTTAATTTGTGAAGGTTTAGATAGCGTATGTGTTCTTCCCATAAGCATACCCCCTGCAGTTACTTAGTTTTATATTTAAGAGCTTATCATTAATTTTTGTATCATTATTTTAAAAATCATAGCTTTGTCATTCCTGAATTCTTTATTTTGATACATGTCTTTGTTCGTCGAGTTGGATCACTGTATCAGTCAGAATAGGCCACAGAATGCTGCTATAACAAGCAAACCCCCAAATCTCAGTGATTTAGCCAAACAAGGTTGATTTCTCTCTCATGGTACATGTCCAGTATATGTCATCAGGAGAGCTCAGGAGCTGAAACGTCTGTGAGGAAGAGGGGTCCACACTGACTCTTGGCCCAATATCTGTAGTTTGGGGGCATCCATGACTCAATACATGATTTCAATGAGTATTTATGGAGTGTCTAAGGTTCTGAGCATGGTTAGACACTGTGGGAAAAGCAAGGGAAATAAATATGAGTTTCTGTGGTTTCAAGGAGCTTACAGCCCAGAAGTGATGGGAGAGGGGAGGGCAGAACAGCCCAGAGGTGGTGGGGGAGGTGCAGGTGGGGATAGGGGGTGTGGCCAGGGGGCAAACAGCCAGTAAAGGGGTCTCTGTGTCAGGTGCGGGTCACGCTTCATCACTGTGGGCCTCAACCCTGCTGGGGACTCAGGAGTCAGTGTAGACACGTGTTAATTCACCCCACCCTGGGGTGTCCATCACACCTTCTCTGTCCTTTGTTGAGGACTACTCCCCCGGGGAGTTAATCACTCAGCACCCAAGCCAGCCGCGTGGTGAAAATGAACCCCGCTGAGAAGGTGTTCAGGCCCCGAAGGGCAGGCACGGACAGCCAGGTGTCGGCCAGCCGCGTGCACCCAGGCAGTGACAGCGGGGCACACGGCAGGGCAGGACACTGACAGCTCTGCTGCAGGCGGGGTCTGGAGTAGCCCTGGCTTTGAGAACAGAATCCACCCCTCACCACTAGTTCTAAGACCTTTGGAATGTCAACCTCTCAGCCCAGCTTCCCAGCTGTAAAATGGTGATAATAACAGTATCTACTCAAGCGTCCAGAAGATTAAAATTCCTGCACCTGGTAAGAGCTTCATGTGTGGTAGCTCTAAAAACCTAAGTTTTAAAATGTGCAGCACTGACTGGGTATCGTTATTGAAAGAAAGGGGAGGTGGGTATGGATGAGTGTGGCCAGGGAAGGCTGCTAGGAGGAGGTGTTAAAAGGGGAGGTCAGGGTTGAGTGAGTTGAGGATGGAGAAGAGGGAGGGGAGGAAGCAGGGGAGAGAAGGAGCTATGAGGGGAAAGACAAGCCCAACTGGCCCAGAGAGAGTGAGCTGAGGACCCTGCAGGAGAGGTAAGGGGTGGGGCTGTGGGCTGCCGAGTGCGAGGCTCCCCCGCCTCTACCGTTTCCCCCAGACAGAGGCTGAATGTGAGCAGCTAGGTGGCCCCATTTCAGAAGGCTCTGTCTTGAGGAAGCCTAGTGCTCTCAGCAGTTGGCAGGACCGGGACACATCTGGGCCGATAATCCAGGATAGTGGGCCCTGCTCGCACCCCTAAGAAAGACGCTGTAGCAAGTGATGTGAAAAATACCCACAACCCTCCTCTCCTGCTGGTACCCACACCCTTCACAAAGACTCTGCAGCTCCGCCTGTCAAGAGTCCATCTCCCTTCCTGCTGCAACTGGACTGCCCCTGTGACTTGCTTTGGCCAAAGGCACATGGCAGAGGTGACACCGTGACAGGTGTGAACCCCCTGTGACCACCACGCAAACGAGCCTGGGTTTGCTCACTGGAGGACAAGAGACACGTGGCCACTGCCCCGGCCCACGGCCAGCCAACCCCCAGATGTGCAGGTGAGGCCTTCCTGGACCAGCCCGCCCATCAGCTGACCTCAGACCCATGAGTGAGTCCAGCTGAGGTCAGAAGTGCTTGGCCCAGATGAGAAAAACCCAACTAACCCACAGACGCGTACAAATACATCTCACTGTTTTAAGCCACTGTTTTGGGGGTAGTTTGTAGGGCAGCTGTAGCTAACATAAATCCCCACGTGAGGCCTGGGAGTGTGGAGTATCTCCAGGTATTAACTGAGAATCTCCTACTTGACCTCTATTTTAGAAAGCCTCCTGATGGCCTCCTGGTGGGCGGTGGTAAGGAGAGGGGTCACCACGGGTCACACACAGAAGCCAAGCGACTGTGATGGGGGTGGAGAAGGAGAACAAAATATTTTTTTAAAAGTGTGTCTTGGGGTGGGAGGAGGTGGGACAAAGCTGTGACAATCTCAGGGCGAGACCGGAGTGTCCATTGTGTGACCAGCTGTGGGTGGTCTGGGGTGACTGATTCCTGGAAAGGTCTGAAAGGAAGCTGGAGACAAACCTTTAAGCAAGTGTTTCTGGAAATATATATAAATTTTAACCGATAGCTGCTCTAAATCTTTACAAGCAGGAATACAAGGGGTTGATTCAGCACACACTACACCAGCACTTCACTCGCATTCCCCAAATCCTCCCGGGGTGAGAAGGCGGCATTTTCCCTGTCTTACAGGTGGGGACTCTGAACAGCAAAGAAGTTAAGTAAGCCGGTCACACTGACTGACTGGTGGTTTCAATCCGGGTCTGTCTGCTGCCTGCAGAGCCGCCTCGGGGGTGGGAGAGGGAGTGTATCTGGTGATTTCAAAGTGCTCTCAGGGACTCAAAGGTGGCATCTACCAGGTACAGACAGGCATTGGAAGGAGCGAGGGAGACCTGTTCGAACGGCCATGCAAAGATGACCGTGAGATAGTGGGGCAAACAGGTCACTGAGAAAGAATCATTCAACAGATGTTTGCTGGGCACCTACTCTGTGCCAGGTGGTTCTTGGTACAGGAGAAAACACAGCAGATGAGACTATCTTCCCTCAGAAGCTGGCATTCTAATGGGAGAAGGCGGGAAACAAAGGTGAATGAGTAAAATACATATTAATCTGAGTGGTATGAAATTGACATGGTAGGGGTCAAAAGTGGTTGAACATGGACAATTTTATGTGGTTCAGCCTTATAAATTAGTTTCAGGATGAGTGAAGAAAAGAAAGCAAGGGGGACTTCCCTGGCGGTCCAGTGGTTAAGACTTTGCCTT